GGTGTTGACTTGGAATGAAGAAGGGAGAGATGCTAGTCCCCACTCTGTCATCCTGTGTGTGACCTTGCGAGATCTTGGGAGAATCATTCCTCTTTCCTGGCACCTGCTTCCTTATCCAGTTGATTTTGAGATCTGTGGATATTTTATTTTATTTCTTTAGTAAATTCCCTTTAGCAAATTAAATCTCATGGGGAAAACAAGCAGTATTTAAAGCAGAACTTTGGAACTAGTGTAAAAGCAACCTTTCTAGTGTCACTCCAAATAGAATAAAAGCACCGTTACAAATGAGATCCCGGGAAAGGAACAAGGCGCAGACGTGTCAGGCAAGTTGGGACAGAAGCGTCTTCATGGAAAGACCCCTCTGTTTTTTAACAACAGGTGGGACGGGGGCATGAAAGCCTAGCCAGGGGGCTTTGCCAAGGGAAGGAGCATGGGGTCCCCAAAGATGGCACGTGGGTGGGATGGCTTGTCCCTAGAAAGTCTGGGATCACCTGAGAACAGCAAGCTGAGTTCCGGCTCAGAGGACGCATTGTATTTAGAAAAGTGAGGCGGCACATAGGAGGTTTCAGCATGGGCCACATACACTCTCAGCAGAGACAGGTCTTTGAAGGTCATCGAGGACGTGTGCCCCGCCTGCTTTAGGCCTGGTCACCGCGGGAGGCTCCTCTCTCCAGCTCTGCCTGCCCCGCCTGGTTACAGCGGCAATCCAGAGTCCGGACGGGGCCCAGATTTGGAGTAAACCACACCAGTGCTCCCTCGGCTTCTCTCCTTGTCAGCCACCCCCACCTCCCCCCGCATGACCCCTAAAGCCCCAGGTGATGAAACAGGAGGGATGTTACTGTGCAAATTTTAGAAGTGATGGAGATGACTTCTGCGGACATTGAATGACTTGTCCAATGATACCCTAGACCGAAGGTTCTTCCCACAAGGCAGTGCTGTCAAAGGTACTAGTAGGGCACGTGGCCCCCACCCACTAGGCTGCTCACCACCTAGATCAGGGGTCCTCAAACTACGGCCCGTGGGCCACATGTAAATACAAATATTGTATTTGTTCCCGTTTTGTTTTTTTACTTCAAAATAAGGTATGTGCAGTGTGCATAGGAATTTGTTCATAGTTTTTTTTTAAACTATAGTCCGGCCCTCCAATGGTCTGAGGGACCGTGAACTCGCCCCCTGTTTAAATAGTTTGAGGACCCCTGACCTAGATTGTGGAGTTCTCTTCAGAGGTGCAGGGATGAGCCCAGAAACAGGCACTTTGTGTACTTCTAAAGCAGGGTGGGGAACCTTTCTCTGCCAAGGGCCATTTGGATATTTATAACATCATTTGTGGGCCATACACAATTCTCCACTTAAAAATTTGCCAAACATTTTTAAATTGATCATTTGGTCAAACATTTAATGAACTCACCCCTAATGCCTTAGCAGGGCCAGACCCAGTGATTTCTCGGGTCTTATACAACCTATAGGCCAGACGTTCCCCACCCCTCTTCTAAAGCAAGGCCCAGCTTTGAAACATACATGCACACATACACATGCCCCCACCCCCCACACACGCATGCACACACACATGCACATACTATATGCACACACGCGCACCCACCCACTTATAAACGCACCCACCCACTTATAAACACACACACGCACACACTTGCATTATGGAAGGAAACAGAAAGACGTGGCCGCCACCATCGTATTCTTGACTCTGGGCTTAACGTCTCAATAGTGAAGAATGTTTCCAGCAAAAGGTCAAGATTTTAATTTGAATCCATTATGTTTCCTGGGATTGGTATGATATTAATTAGATGCTTAAAATAATCATCTAAAGCACATTTCCTCACCAGCATCGTAGGGACATTCTCCCGGGTGTGCAGCCCTATCCGTACCATGGGCACGACCACCCCTCCAATCCATTCATACACCTCTCTCTCCATCGATTCAGACGCATTCATTAGGACGGCGCCCACGCCGGCGCGGCCCGGTCTGTGTGCCCGGTGTGATGATCATTGCTCCGAGTGATGGGAATGATGATGGGGCGACGGCGAGAGCCTCCTTGGCTGCAGCCAAGCCGAGCGCTCTGCATTTGTGTTGAGAAACAATTACGGGGCTTAATTAGGAGCGTGTAAGGATGACAGCACTTATTCCAGTGATTGATTTCCCAGTGAAGGGGACCCGGCGAGCCCAGGCCCTGTCTGCTTCGCTCTGAAAGGAAAGGGAGCCCGAGGCCCGAGACACGGCCGGGGGGCGCTGGGAGGCTGTGTGACCCCTGGAGAGGGGAGGACGTGGGGGCCGGAGACACGCCCCAAGAGGACACGTTTCACCCCTTTGCTTCTCCTAACGTTGAGGACAAGAGGGAGAACAGAGATTTGGCAGGAAGTTCAGCAAAGTGAAATGTAGTATTTCTGACTGTTGTCTTTCAAACTCTTTTTATTGAAAAGAACTTGAGGTGCACAGAATTGGGTCAATGAGTTAAAAGTGACGAGTTTGGATTTGATGTTGGTGGGTCAATGACTCTGAACTTCCCAGGGGTCGAGGGTGAGTTACCTGTGTCCGTATTTCTTTCACTGAGGTAGACCTTGGCCATCTCTCTCCATGGGCTGTTTTAGGGTGCTCCTGAAAAGGTCAGTGCTGTTTGGAAGAATTTTGTAAAATGTGATTTCTTTCTAACATTTCATCCCCCTACCCCCGCCCCTCAATGCATGTTTAGTCTGATCTTAATGTGATCGGAGGAATCCTTGGAAATTGGCTCTATTCCATGGGAAAGGCTATCCACTTGTTTTCCTAAATGACAGATTGTCTAAACTCAGCATCTTTAAATGTCTGTTTTCCGAAATCATTTTTTAAAATATATTTTTATTGATTTCACAGGGGAAGGGAGCGGGAGAGATAGAAACATCAGTGATGAGAGAGAATCATTGATGGGCTGCCTCCTGCACGCCCCCTACTGGGGAACAAGCCCGCAACCCAGGCATGTGCCCTGATCAGGAATTGAACCCTGAACCCCTGGTTTATAGGTCGATGCTCAACCACTGAGCCACCACGGCCAGGCTCCTAAATGATTCATATATGAATACGCACACCTGTGTCCTTGTAATGCATCTCATTAACTATGAAATATCCACGCGTCTACATGTCTGGATATGTTGATGAAACTTAGGAGGTGCCAGGGGGGAAGTTAGAGATAATCACTGGGCATTCTCGTCTTCAAATGACCGAAGGGCATTTCCAGAGCATTTTCTGGTTCTTAAACATAAAGCATGGCGAGGCCTCCCTCCCACTTAATTCACAGACTAGAGCAGCGGTTCTCAACCTGTGGGTCGTGACCCCGTTGGGAGTCGAATGACCCTTTCACAGGGGTCGCCTATGACCACCGGAAAACACATATATCATTACATATTGTTTTGTGATTAATCACTATGCTTTAATTATGTTCAATTTGTAACAATGAAAATACATCCTATCAGAT